ATAGACTTTAAGAAACTTAATGAAAACACTATACCGGATAGATACCCTATGCAAGATCCTTCAGTAATCCTTGCCAATTTAGGTAAAGCGAAATATTTCTCGGCCATTGACTTAGAGTCAGGTTTCTATCAGATTTTAATGAGGGAATCAGATATTGAAAAAACATCTTTTTCCATAAATAACGGCAAATATGAATTTCTAAGAATGCCTATGGGATTGACGAACGCTCCCAGAATTTTCCAAAGGGCAATGGACGATATACTTAGAGAACAAGTTGGGAAAACTTGTCACGTTTATATGGACGATATAATAATATTTTCAAAAACTATAGAACAACATTATAAAGATCTAATTCATATAATTCAGATATTGCAAAACGCTAACATGAAAATTTCACTTGAAAAGTCTAAATTCTTTCAATTGGAAACCAAATTTCTGGGATACATTGTTTCCCAAAATATCATTAAAACAGATCCAGACAAAATCTCCACAATACAAAACTATCCAATTCCTAAAAATATCAGAGAGCTACGTAGCTTCTTAGGACTAACAGGGTATTACAGAAAATTTGTCCGAAATTATGCCACAATTGCCAAACCTTTAACAAAATATCTGAGCGGAGTAAATGGGAAAGTTTCACGAAGGGCATCCAAGAAAGCATTAATACAGCTGGATGAACCAGCAATTGGAGCATTTAATAATTTAAAGGACAGTTTAATAGCACATATTGAATTAGTACAACCAGATTACAATAAAAAATTCACATTAACCACAGATGCATCGGACATAGCAATAGGTGCAGTTTTGTCGCAAGATGGGAATCCCATAACATTTATTTCTAAAACTTTAAGTAAAACCGAGCAATTATATGCTACTAATAAAAAAGAATTATTAGCTATTGTATGGGCATTAAAAAATTTGCGAAATTATTTATACGGAGTGAGTGGAATTGAAATACATACAGATCACCAACCTTTGTCCTTTGCAATGTCGCAAAAAAATCCAAATGTTGAAATGAAACGTTGGTATTACTTCATAGAAAGTTTCACACCAAAAATCATTTATAAGCCAGGCTCAACTAACGTAGTAGCGGACGCGTTATCTCGGATTAAAATAAATCATATGACAGATAGTGATGTCGACCAGACAGAATCAGAATCAGACATAAATACTCAGCATTCAGCAGAGAGTAGTTTCGAAAACGTCATTCAAGAGACTAGCAAGCCTCTAAACCAATTTAAACAGCAGCTACTATTAGCGCAAGGGAGATTCACAGTTCATGAGTTAGTAAGAGTTTATGAAAATACCCGACATATTATTGAATTTGATACGGTTGACAATCTGCTAATCATTTTAAAAGAATTTATTCAGCCTCACTTAACCACAGGAATACACTGCACTTTAGAAGATTTATACCTTATCCAAAATAAGCTAAAGGAAAACTTCATAAATAAATTTCTCTTCACAAGAAAGTTCCTCCAAGATGTAGTAAATTCAGAAGATAAAGCTATAATTATAGAAGAAACACATTGCAGAGCCCATAGAGGACTAGACGAAAATTACAAACAAATAACTAAGCTGTATTATTGGCCAAACCTGCACAAAAAATTAAAAGAATATATAAAAAATTGTGAGATCTGTAACAAAAACAAATATCGGAGACACCCTGTAAAAATTCCAATTGGGGAAGCTCCCATTCCAGCAAAAGAAGGAGATCAATTACACTTAGACATATACTATGCCCAAAACCTAACATTCATAACTTGTATAGATTCTTATTCCAAATACTTGGTGGTCAAGGAAATTCAAAGTAAATTAAACATTGAAAATAAGGTAATGGAAATTTTACAACACTTTCCGTTAGCAACATCATTAATGACTGACAACGAACCAAGCTTTACTTCAGCACAATTTAGATCATTCATACAAAGAAGTAACTTAACTATTTATTATGCTGATCCCAGACACAGCACCTCAAATGGTCAGGTAGAAAGGGTACATTCCACACTAACAGAAATAGCGCGGTGCATCAAGGATGAACTAAATCTAACAGATTATTCAGAAATAATAATAAGGGCGGCACTGAAATATAACCTGACGATACATTCAACGACCAATCAAATGCCATATGACATATTGTATAACAAAATAGAACACAAACATAATCCAATATTACTTAAGGAAGCTCAGACCAAAATGCTTAAGATACATAACAAAGATAGAAGAGAAAAAGATTATAAAATAGGAGAAGTAGTCTATGAAAAGAAATTCGGGGAAAGAAATAAACTTCAATCCCGATACAAAAAGCAGGTAGTTAAGGAAAATCGACCGAATAAAATTATAATCAACAATAGAAACAGAATTATACATAAAGATAACATCAAATATTAAATATTTTTTCCAGAAAATGTATGCGAATATACTAATACTGACTTTTGTTATATTGACGACTGCGGAAGTAATTGACTATACGCATAGTGACTATCTATTGCTCAAAGACGACAGAGACGTTTACACTTATGAAACATACGCTGAACTTTTCCATATTACTAATTTGAGTTTTTATAGAGAGATAATTGATAAAGAATCCAAATATGTCAACAAATCAATTAATTCAGACGATGAGTGGGAAATATCAATGGACTTAAGTCTATTAAAATTAATGATTTCAGAATTAGTTCCAAAACGGAAAGAAAGGGGAATAAATGAATTAGGTACCATTTGGAAATGGATAGCAGGCAGCCCTGATCATGACGACTTTTTGAAAATACAAAATAAAGTAAATGAATTAACTGAAAATAATAATAAACAATTTGTAATAAATTCCAAATTTTTCAAAGAAATTGAATTGCTATCAAATTCATTAAAGAATGTCATCTTCAATGAAGAAACGATACTGAGAAAGCATCGTTTAAAATTAATAACTTTTGACCTACTAAATTTAGTTGATACCATAACCCTCTTAAAAGTAAACATTTTCAATACAAAAATTTTAAATAAAAACGAAATAGAGGACATTTATAAGCATGAAAAACATAATGTTGAACTGTCTGATCTGTTGGACATTGCAACGGTTAAAATAATTCGAAATGCAGATTTAATAATCATTTACATAAAATATCCTCAAATTAAAGATATTTGCAAGTTTTACCATGCAAGAGCCATCTCACAAAATGATGGAATGTTAGTTATAAGTGAAAAAGTTTGTGAATGTAAGGAGAAATACTATTTAATGAATAATTTTAAAAGTGAAACTTTTAACAATTACGCACAAATAAATTTAAAGAGTACCTGTTTCACCAATTTACTTAATGGCTTTAAAGCCAACTGCACTAAAAAAAGGGAAAAAAAACAAAGAAATAGACATCATTCAGGATGGTGCCATATTAGTTTCAGGCAAAAATATCGTAGACAATACTACTTTGTTAGGATCGTATCTCCTTATATTCAACAACACAATTGTAATAAATAATATAAGCCACATAAATGATAAGGGTAAAATTCTAAAATATATATCGCATCATAGATATAGCGATTTTGAATTAGTTGATTATATACAATCAAATGATAAGCAATTTTCTTTTGATAATGTTAATATTTTAAATCCCCTTATAACATTAGGTAATACGGCCTTACCATTAACAACATTATTTTTAATCATTTTGATATTGTTAATGTTATTTTACTTCTGCTATAAATTAACCAAATTTGTACTTATTAAATCAATAAGAATACCGTCAGAAGAAATAGTGGAAAGCAACATTCAAATACTGTCAGAAGAAATTAGAGCTCTATCAGAACTTCAAAATGTATCGGGACGAAACATTTAAGAATGGGGGGAGTTAACGTACCCAATTCCATTGAGCTCTTATACGAGTTGTAAACAATCTTTGGTTTTCCAAAACGAAAACAATTTCAATCTTGGGCCTCCGCCTAATTGATTTCTAAGATGTACAATCTCAAGCGCCCCCGCCGCAATCCCATTCTTTGACACTCGCCTAAATGGAAAACCAATGTTTGCCCACACCCGGCTTCTCATAAACAATCTCACTCCCGGCTTTCTGCAGATCCTGCACTTTAGGCCTTTTACAGTTCTCTCTTTGGATGACGAAATCTAATACTCGGGATGGCGAAATCAATTGAAATGTTTATAGAAAAACGATTCCCGAAAGGGATCAACGATGCAAAGATCAGAAAGTTCAAATCAGTCTTGATCCAGCAGCGACACCGCAAAGTCTAGCTAAATATTAAGATCGCGCAATCCCTTGGCCCGGAATTCCTTTGTGACCCTCTACTTAAATCTATATCAGTGAAGTTCGAAGTAAAATAAAAACTTTTTAAAAACACAATCCGCTACCGCAGTTGTTTAATTTGCATCCTGCATACGTCGTCCATGTTTTGTAGTATTTTCACGCTCATTTCCGATCAAGAGTGAGAGCTGTTCGAGAAGAGCTTCTCTTCGGTTGCACGAGAAATTGCTGTCGCGACCTTAGGGCGTCATAGACGCTGCCAGCGCTTTTGGCTATCATTTTAAAGAAGAATTTTCACGTAAAAGCTGTGTGCGCATTTCACACGTTTCTTAGAAACGGACCTTCTAGAACCTAGCTTAGTAGTTACTTTAAAATGTCTGAAAACGAAAATTCGCAACAGCCGCCGTTGCCCGAGCAGCCGCCATCCAGAAAGAAGAATTTCAAATGCGTGCAGGAACTGTTTGTGGATGAAGTGCACTACAAGCTTAGCTGGGGCAAGTTCAACAGGATTGCGACAATGGGAGCGCTGGCGGACCGTATCAATCAGCTCCCCGCACCGATGGGGACCTTGTCGGTGAACAAGGTAAGTTTTAAGCTTTAACCTGAGAGCGCGGTAATCCTCCAGATTCTTGCCACACACAGTGCTGCCAGTACCTATGGGAAATGAGTCGCAAGATGGGCACCGATGAGCTGGCCACGCTGCAGAAATTGGCATGCATCTTGTTCCTGCTTCCAGATAGAGAGGGGCCGTCGATGACTTGCCGCATGGCACTGATGCGTCAATCCTTCAACGTGGTCAACTCGCTGGAGCCAATGCTAGTACATTACTTTTCCAAACTGTTTCTGGACTACTTTAGCGGGAGCTCGAGCAGCAGCCGGTGCCATGTGCTGCGTATTGCCCGCTTCATTAGCGTACAGAGTGGCATCGGTAGGGCCGTTAGCGTCTGCCTGCTGTGGCACTTAATTTTTAGCTATGCCGAAACACCCATTGGCATTCATCAGTACCGCGAGGTGAGTACCGCAGCTTTGGAGGTAACCCTAATCCTGATGCTGCTGCTCTTTCTTTCTCGTTCCAGCTGGGTGAGCTTCGAATTTTGAGTAATGTACCCATCGCGGAGTTGAGCAACACTAGCTTCAGGTGTATAATCCGTGCGGTGGGCACTCTGTTGCATTTGCAGTTGTGCTGCCCGGACCTAAATGAGTTCCTGTATCACGGCTACCCGAGGATCTTCTTTCGCATTCTGCCCCAGGATGTGAAAATGCTGCGCTCTTGGCTGCTAAACGCTGTCGCCACCACTGACTGCCATCATCTTCGCACCGATGCCTCAAAGCTGCAGGCCATGCTGGATTACCTCAATGTCCCTGTCCTATCCCGTCAATGGTGCCTTGTGTGCCGCGACGCATCGGGTGATGTTATCGGCCCTCCCCGCACCGGCGACGAGTGTGTGCTCTCCCAGATGCGCAGTTGACTCAAATGACGCATGTGACGTGCTGCCACGACGTGCAGGCAGTAGAAAGCAGGCAGTAATCAGTAGGCCGTGTGGCACCACATTTCGACACACCAACGGATTTTCAGAGTGAAACATTTATTTATTCGCTCTCATTTTGTTCAGTTGAAGTATCGTAATACAAAAGGTATTAAAATCCGCTAAAAGGCTAAAAAAGTATCAAATTCTGGTTGATTATTTATAAAAGATTCCTCCGCTGTGTGTTATCTTAGGTGGGCGTCATGAACGGTTCAGATGGGGAGACCATCACAGTGCAAGTGCAGGAGACTGCTGGTGGGGTGAAGAACTACCCTGAAGAGCAGAACAACGCTCCGGTTGAGGTGGCGGTGAGTACCACAACAGATCTCTTTGCGTTGGTACGCGAGGCTGTCCAAGAGTGCGGTGCCCAGGGGGACATCGAGCCAGGAGACAACGAGAAGCAGTCTGACGCTGAGCCAGTGATTGTTGTGGAGGAGGGCCAGAACCCGTCGCCGCCGTCGTCTTCGTCCCCAGCCCTTAGTGGCCAAGATATTAGCGACGAAGTCGTCGAAGATAGTAAGGCCAGCATGGCTCCTGTTGATGCCAAATTGCAGGCATTGTTCGAGCGTCAGCAGATTATTAAGCTACTGTTGGGTCTTTGCGATGGAGCAGATGGCGACGGCGAGACCATCCATATCGTCATGGAGCTGCTTGGGGCCCAGAGCGATGGACGAAGCGCAGTTGATCGCGTCACTGAGCAGCTGCTCACAGTGCTACCAGAGCAGACTCTTCTGGATGAGGGGATATTCATTGGCAACGAGCGCCATCGCTGCTTCAAGAGTGTTCTTGGGAACTATGCCAAGATTCATGCTGCCCGACGTTTCATCGAGCAGCTGCCCACACTGGGGCTCAACAATTTTCTCGATGACAAGCAGACATTGCTCGCTCGCATTGTGGCCGACGATGTGCTGAAGATACCAGAATTGATACGTCAACTCTGGTTGTCACTCGAGGATATGGAGTTTTTTAATGAAGACACCGCCTTTAAGGCCTACCTAAAGGCCCGCCATCATCCCCATGGCAAGATCCTACGTGAGCTCATGCTCAGCCGCATATCACGTGTGTTCCTATGCGTGGTCAGCTCGACATTCTTCTTGTACTTCACTGAGGTCGAGATTATACATATCCTCAAGAACTGCTACTTGAGTGTTAACTCGGAAATCGAGGTGATTTATTTATTTATTTGGCTGCCCAATCTTTTGCATTTTCTACTTCTGTCTGCTATCTTCCCCTGTAGATATTTCTCTCGGTTGTACTTTGGCTGGAGCACGACTGGACCGAGCGTCGTGACTGCGTTGAGCGTGTTCTTTCAGAGGTTCGTTTCGGCCTGATGCCGACCTGGTATCTGTCCACCCTAGACCGTGCCAATCGCTGCATTCATTTTGCTCGTGTCACACAGTTTCCAGGCGTTCAGGCTCTGGTGGCCAAGGGACTCGAGTGAGTGTTGGCTTTCTTCTTTTACTTTATATTTTCTCTAGCCCTTTTGTCTTATTTTGCAGGGATGCTGTGGCTTTGAAGAAGAAACCTTGTGACAGTTCTTCAAATACTGAAGGGAACAAAAAGGATGATGGTCCTATTCCCCGTGAGTGGATCGCCGATCCCGCTTGTCTCTATCACCACAAGTGCCACTGCCAGCGCTTCGTTTATCCGACATACGAAGTCTTCAAGCAGTATTTGGCTCGGATCATTAGCTGCGCCCCCTACTACTGGCGCACCTTTCGCCCGGCCCAGGAGGTCTATCGCAATCAGCTGCGCTGCTGCTCATTGCCAAACTTTCAGTAAGCTTTTACACACTTACAAAAAACATTGACATTCTGGAAGGAAGGCATGTAACGTCGTTCAGTATCAATGGAGCACGCTATCCCCTACCAATAAGAAAATGAAGCACCAAACTATTTACACTGTTACACTGTCGAAATGCCCTTGCTGAAGGCGAAACACGCACAACAAATCGCAATGTGAGCCACGGTTGTCTTCTTGCCCATTGGAATGATTCAATTTACATTCTATACGGTTTTCTTCACCCAATCACTTTGCTTACCTCTTAGCACACATACTTAGCACACATACTGATACTACCACACAGATACTCATTGAGACCACTCAAAGAATAAAATATCCAAACACTATAGTACGCTGCTACACGGAAAGCATTTTAGCGGAGCGATTGGAAATGTAACCATATAACCATAACATAATATTCTCGGACCAAATACCATTGTGAGAAATACTTCATACACCACATATCTAGACACCACCAGCCCCATCGGAAAAATGGGAGAAGTCCGAGAATAAATATTGTTATTGGGAAATAATTGAAGCGATTATTATGATTATTTCGAGTGTGCCCCGAAGTGTGCCCTTCCTTTCTTGCGTATTTGTGTATTATATTGTGTATTTCCAGAAAGGAGTCTGCGCGTCAAAGAGCAGCCATCGGGTCTTCAGTCTCCGCTCGATCCGTTGGACATCGTGGACTCGCTCATGTGGAACTGTATCAGGATAATCAGGTATGTGGTTGTCGCGCCCACAATCTACAATAGGAGAATGCCAGTCATCAGCCAGGCCTGGTCTTAGCAACAGGGCGCCGTGGACTTACCGTATAGAGGAGCGTATTGTCGACGTTGAAAAATCCGGCGGCGCTGAAATATAGGCGCTGGTGGAGGAGCTGTAGCGAGAACTGGGTGATCTAACGATCAAGGGGAGAACAGAGCTATGGTATTACAAGAAGCACATTCGGATTAACCTACCAGGGCATTGTGCAACTCGTTCGTCAAATCCACGCTGACCTGGTGCAGGCTCAGGGCCAAGCGGGTAGCCTGAAAGGGACAAAGTGGAGAAGGGAGACTCACCCCTGCTTTGTCTACTCACACATTGCGCAGCTCGGTCGCAGATCAGGGAGATAACCAGGACGTTTCCAAGATGCGGTGCGGACCACACGGCGCTAGCAATGATCTGAAGGATGTCGTACGGCGATGCCGCTGACTGGCGGAAGTTGAGAAAGATCCAGTAGCAGTTGGAAGTAATAGCCAGGAAGTCGTTGCCCACCAGGAGCAGTATGGAGAGGCCGTGGCTGCGGTTAAGCAGGGCTACGAGGATCCACACCTTTTGGTAAAGCTGCCGCACAGGCACTAGGCGCTCCATTGATGCCTCTTGGGCCTCCGCCTCTGCCTCCGAATCGTGTAACTGTAGCGTTTGGAGGGCATCGAGCAGTAGTTCCAGGCGCTGGGCTACAATATGCACGGCGCTGAAGATCTGAAAATACCTTAGGCCGCACACGAACATGGGTAGAAGGTACTGGATCCAGTAGATCGGGAACTGGTGACGCGGAGCCAGTAGCTTCGCCACCAATATTAGGGTCTGGCTGGCCGCGTAGCCGCACAGCATCCACATCGCCCGGCGGGTGGTGCGCCGACGCAGCTGTCTGCTGTCGACGTTCATCTGAAGGTCCCTGGCTAGCTGACGGTCGATCTCGGCCAGCTCCGCATAAAAATCGCACTGCGCCTGTCGCTGCCATAGCGCCTCCAGCAGCGCGGCCATGTGCGCCACCCGTATACCCACCAGTTGGATGAAGTCCACCGTGTGCCCAATGCTGCTGATGGTCGTCTCGGCATCCCCAATATCTTCTGAATCCTCACTTCCGCTGCTCTCCTGAAAGAGGCCATAGGCCGTGTAGCCGCCGGCCGCCACCAGCACCGTCCAGCCATAAAGCTCCAGCCAGTGCGAGCGATGGAGGAGTCCGCTCTCCTTGTCCAGGCGCCACTGCCAGAGGTTGCACACCTGACAGACGCGATGCATCGGCCCCAAAGCTCTCAGTGTGTCCATGGCAAGGGCTTGACAACTCGACTAATCGACTGCGTATCTGTGAGTGCGAGTGTCCGATGGATATCTGACTATATCTGTAGCTGGATAGATAGGGAATCGATTAGGTTATCAGAACGTGGCAATTATGCATTTGTTACGCTAATCAAAAGAAGAATTATGTAAATGCCAGACCACTTGCAATCAGCAACCTAGGGAAGGACAGCAGAACGACTAAATTCCAATCCAATCAATTGAAATTGATCTTCCTGAAGCTTTGTAACCGGGAATCAGTTGATTCACTAACATGCAACTATAGCCACGAAATGTGCAACTGTTGCCGAACGCCGTCGAAATGTGAATGGTAGGTGCCAGGATACCTGCTCAAAGGAAGTAATACTCGTACATTAGGTACCAATCCATCATTATTAATTAAGGTATTTTTAATGTCATCAATCAAGCTGACACCTGACTCTATTCCAGGGTGAGGCTACCTGCAGATGGGGTGGTCGGCCTCAAATGACATCCAAACCAGGGACCGTAATCATTTTATATTTTAAAAATCAGACAATAAAAATGTATCTTCATTGTCATCGGTGATAATATGTTAATGTTAATGATATTATGTATACCACGCAACTACATTTTTGCTCAACGCACCAAACCGAATGTTTTCGACTTATTCTGAGTTTTTAAAGTCGAAATGTTGAGCAGAAAAGTTGTGAGCAGCACGGGCCGCGGCTCTACATTTATACCCGATACCCATTCAGTATGACTTGATTATCTCCTTCTCTTTCCAAATCATCAATTTGTGAGAATATCGGTTCTGCAGATGCCGAGTAAAATTTATAAAAGTGCGCATAGTAACCGAAGCGCGGTTTTTGCATATATAAGAACAATTTTGGGGTATATTGTACATTCTAAGTATGAGGACTACTACTTATCCAGGACTAGAGCCAAGCGGATCTGGTGGTAGTACTCGTAAGAGTATCTTGTGGCAAGGGTCAAGTAAAACAATGTTGGTTTTCACATAAATACGTTTATTATAATTTTCAGATTGTTTTTTTTTTTTTGGTTTTTTTGGAAATAGTTCTGGAGTAAGCATTACTTTGACGTTCATAAAATGTAATACATATACAATACATATATTAATATATATATATATCGATTTGTTTGTTTTTTTCTGGCTAACCTCTCCACCCATGAATCGAATCCACTTTTGTGCTTGCTCTTTTCTCATTCTTCTTCAGCTCTCCTCTGACTTTATGCCTTAGACTCGTTCCTGCTGCCATCTCTACTCTTCTCTTGTTTTCTCTCTCTCTCCATCGATCTCTCTTTTTTAGCAGCATCTGGTTATATAGCTTTAGATAAAGCTATACATTTGAGTATACGGGAAGTACTGCTTTGCTGTTCTGCTTTTCCTGCATGCCCTTTATCGCTTTTACTACTCGTAGTATAATGATTATATAGAGGTCTTATACACAATTCTACACACGCAAACACGCACGCACGCACACTTAAGCAATGCATGTATGTGTGTGTGTGTGTGTGTAGACCTATGTATGGGTGTGTGTCTGTGTGTGTGTATATTTAGTATGTATATTTGATTTAAATCGAAGCTGCTAAAAAGTAAAAGCAAATTCAACAAACAAACTCCCGTGTTAGGTCATACGACGAGTACATATCATATCATATCATATATGCGATACACATTGGGGTTCTTACATTTACAATACGAGTATATTGTATGTAGTATAAGGTATAACGTATATGATTCAGATACAAATCTCTGTATTCTGTTCTGTTTGTTCTCTCTTTGGATATAAGGCAATGGGGGGATACAATGGGGTGCAAAGTGCGCGCGTCTGCGTATATATCTGATCTTATCGGATTCTACCAAACAAATCGCAAACAATTAGAGGGGGGCGGGGATGGGAAAATACAATACGTAAGTTCCCGTAAGTTTAACAACACTCACAGACGAGTACATATGTCTTATAATTGTGTTCATTTTTGTTTTTGGTTTTGGGGAAATTCGTTTAGTGAAAGGCAAAAAATGTCTTCTGGCTTTTGAGAAGAGTTTCCATATAATTTGTTCAAGCAAAAACATCAAATACGCTCAATTATATATGTATATATATGTATGTATATATATTATATATATAGTGTTGTATATAGTTCATGTCTATGCATATATGCATTTTAAATATCATGTGTGAGTATCTGTATTTTTTTTTTGTTTTTTGATCAATTTTTAGCTTTTTTACTTTGGGGTTTTCTTTAATTTCCCTATTTTTTTTGGTTTTGTTTCGCTTAGCGCACGAATTTTTGGAAAAAATTATTAATAAATCGTCTACTCTTACTCCTTTTACTCATTTTTTTGTTTTTTTTTTGTTTGTTGTGGTTACACTTTAAATTTAAAATCCTCGAAGCGGCTAAATACGGAACTCAGGGAATATGTCGGATAAACTCTCGAAATCGTATCTATCTGCTGGTAGGAGGACGCTCCTCCTATAAGCCTTGTGTCTGTCTGCGCCTCCTTCTCATCTCCTTAGCTCTACGATTGTGTGTATAATTTTCTCACTTAAATTTTGCTTTGTTTTTGTTCCTTATCAAACGTTTGTAGACTGGACGGTTGCCAGTTGACTGTTGTTTGTTTGTTTGTTGACTCTGTTGCACTGTTGCATCTCTTCTTGAAGTTATCGGATCTGTAGCTACTGTATCTGTAGCTTATTTCTGTATAAGAAGCAACGCAAAAATATACGACGTATATAGCCCAAAAGTCTGCCTGTCGTCAGATATTATTATATCGTATCAATATCAATATTCAATTTCAATTGTTTGGTTCAAGCTAAATGTCTTTCTTGAGTAATGGAGTATTTATTTTAAGTTACTTTAGTTTGTCTTAATGTTCTTTTGTTCCTTGGACTGTGTTTACTGCTGTGGCCTCAAATTGCTTACTTCTGTGGTTACATAAATTGATTAAAATTTTCCAGTAGTGTGCCTTGTTTGTTTATCTGTTTGTTTGTTTATTTTTGCTTGCATTGCAATATTACTTTGTTTTGTTTGCAAATTTGTTATTCTATGACTATGAAAAAGTAAAAAAAATATAGAAAAATAACCTTCATTCACTTTGTGTACTTCATATTATTTATTCGTATTTAGTTTTCTTTGATCATGTCAACATCTTTTCGTCTTTTCATCTGCTCTTTTATCCCTTTCACAGTATCTGTCTCATCATTCGACCACAAATCTAAACCCAACCCACCCCAATCACAAGCCCTTTTCCAGTTCAAGTTCTTAGTCTCACACTCTGACGCTCCCAATTCTCAATACCAGTCGATGAATCATTCCTTCGTAGTCCCTATATAGTAACATCAGCATTAACATTATCGTCTTCCGTCTTTTGTCATCGTAATCGTCAACGTTTATCACCATCACTATGATCAGCAATCGAATCATTTTCCTTTCCCTTTTCCATCCTTTTCCCTCCTTAAACATCTATTCAAGACTTTCAGTTTCCTAGCTAAAACATTCAGACTCTGTCCCCAATCCCATTCCCGATCCCCGACCATTCCAGACTCTAGTTTCTGCACTTCAGTTTCCCTCCCTCTACTATATCGAAGTGTACGTATATCGTTTAGCTATAGCTTGTTGGATTATAAGTCTTTCTGCGGTTGCCTTAAATAAAATAATAAACGAAAACAGAAAAGAAACCGAAGGAAAACGATAGAAGTGAAAATTGACTACAGTAATGACTTCGGATTTTAGATTTTGGAGTTGGAGTATCTCTGCATTTTTTCTGGGGGAGGCACATTCAGCAAGGACAAAGGATCTCAGATCTCGGATCAGTTTTGAGGGTTTGAGAGGGTAATCGCTTGCTATCCCAAAGCTTTTGATTAGATATTCGTATTCGTTCGTATTGGATACCCTTCCTTTCAGCATGTGCTTCGTAGTACATCGGCAATCGCTCTTACAATATTAGATTAATGCTATATAGTAGCTCTTTCTCATTCTTTTTGTCATTTAATGGGTTATACAAGTACATTTATAGTTTCATTATTCACCTTGCTTTAAAATTCATAATACCTGCATAATGGGGCTGCTATATTTATATCGGGGAATTCGTAAAAGTTTCGACTAATACAATAAACATGAATATCTTTTCTTTAATATAGAGATTTTACGTTTTTTTTTCTGTTCTTTTCTTTCTTTTTTCTGTTGTTTGTTTTCTTTTTTTTGTATATTTTTACTATGCGGTTTTGAAAACTATTTTGATCTTTGGATTACTAGGCAAGGTAGCTCGACGTTATACAATGAATAAGCAACAAATAATCATCATTTATCATTCGAATTTCTCGTCTTATAAGTAGTTCTTTATTGGATCTTATTGATCTCTGCTTACGTTGCGCAATTGGTGCTTGATTGATTTATTATTTTTGTTTGTAATTAATTTTTTCAAAATATATATCAATTAATTACTTAGCTTTATTTTGTTGTCTTTGGGGTTGAAATATGTTTCGGCAAAAGCTTAATAGACGGCATTGGCAAACAAAATGGCGTCATGCATGTGACCCGTTACTCCGCCATATTAGCTCCTGCTACTTATTTCCGGTTACCGGTTCCCTTGCGCACGAAACTTGCCATATTGCATTCGAGAGTGTTTTAGTTTTTTATCCGCTGCTATTCGTTGTTCTGGTTCTGATTCTGGTGTGTTAGTCGTCCTTGTCATGTCCTGTGTCCAAGTATGTACTGCTATCAGAGGTCCGATCCCGATCCCCCGCATTATCATTAAATATTTAGGGAATACAAGGGCTACGATCCTCCGTCCGTGTTTAGAGTGTTTGAAAAGTGATTTGTGATTGGTTAGTTGGTTTATTGGTTTCTGTTTTAGTCATCGTCGAATGCAATAAACAAGCCCGTGGCCTAGAACTCCAGGCGATAGGCAGAGCACGAGGTCTCATGATCCTGCAAATTGATTGTGCAGCGGGAAGCGGATGGCGAGAGATCAATGCGATGCTTGGCCAGCAGCTCCTCGTTCTCAGCCACCCAGTAGCCAAGCACATCGGTGTCGTATGTGGGGATGATGGTCACCTCTGTGAATGGGGGTTCAGTCAAGTAAGCGCTATCAAATATCACTTCCATCCATCACTTACCCAGCTCTTTGTCTTCCCAGGTCTGTTTTGCCTCCAAAAGAGCGTCGTAAACCTGACGGCTGGGCTCAGTGCCCGAGAAGACATAGTAGCGTGCACGGACGCGCTTAAAGAATTCCACGTGGGCGTAGTATGAGTTGCCGTTGTGGGGGACATAGGTTAGATCCACGTAAACTGGGGCCGGCTTCTTGCTGACCTTGTTCGGCGATTCGCTGCGCTTGCGGAGGTTCTTCTCGTTGTTAAGGCGCGTCTTGGTGGCGACCAGACGACGCTCCTTTTTAGGTGTGGTGCGGATATCGGAGCCGCCCTCGACGGGCAGTGGTGCGGGTGAGGGTAGTCCCAGTGGCTTGCCCCACTCTTCCAGGCGATCCTTGGGATCCTTGGGCAGGGTTCCAGAGCCGCCACTGGTGCTGCTGCTTTTCATTGTGGTCGTGGTTGTGTTTGTAGATGTGGTTACGGCTTCTCCATCTCCCTCCTTCTTTTCGTGTGATGATTTTTCTGTGGTTGTGGCTGTGGTTTTAGTCTGACTGTCTCCCACTGAACTGAAGCTGCTCTCGGCGATACGCAATCGCTGGACATCGCTGAGTGGGAACCGCTGGCGTTCTGCGGTGCTAGTGACAATCTGTTCGACCTCGTCGGCCTTTGACGGAGAGTAGGAGTACTTGGCGGTGACGGAAGACATTACCTCGGCGCCGCGCGCCTGCACATGCTCCTCGAGCGCCTTCTGGAAGTCTTTGTCCGCCTGGTCGAGGAATTTGTGTCCTGCCCAGGTCTGGCTGCTGCTCTCCACACTGTCCGACGATTGGCTATCGCCTGGCGCCCCAGCGGCTGCTCCCTGGATGGGTATCGGCTCGGTGCTGCTGGGCTTCACATCGAAGGTGTCTGGCAGCGCACCATAGAACGAGGTGGCCATGGGATCGGCCGTACGCGGCAGAAGAATCGAGCGGGCCGTCGAATGCTCCTCGCTGCCGTATTGCGGCGGAATGTCATCCTGGCTGTCGTCGGCATCCATGTCGGACCGCTTGCTCACGCCAGAGCTCGAGTGCTGCAGTTCATAGCTTGTGGCACTTCTGGGCGAACCGGGCAGTTCATCATCGTCCTCGCTACCCGGAGTGCTGGAACGGTAGCTGGCGCCCCGGAGCAGGGCCACCTCCTTAGGCAGGATCTGGTCGCGGTCGCTCTTCTCGCTCTCACTGGTGGTGCGGGTGGTGGTTACGACCACCTTCTCGCTGTCCGGCTCTGAGCTGTCCGTAGTCGTCACCGTCTTCTGCTCGGTGACTATCTCCTTGCCGTCCGAGGAGATCACCTTGGTGACCGTGGTGATTGTCGTAGTAATGATCTTTTCCGTGCTGCCGCTCAGCGCCGTGGTGCACTCGATGCCACGCAGCTCGTGCAGATCGGGTAGATCGGCTTCGACATCTCCCTGGTCTGCCTCCAGGGACATCTGCTTTAGATCGTCCTTGCTGACGCGCGGGAACGGCGACGTTGGCTTCGGGGACGACTCGGGCGTCTCAGTGTGAGACTCCCGTCCCAACGGTGTGGGTATGGACTGACTCTCAGAGGTGAGGCCGCCGGGACTCGATTTGCCGCTGATATCCTTGGGAGATAGGGGACCCGAGGTTGAAGCGATGCTGCTGCCCACAACAGCTCCTCCTGAAGAGCCCGTCGGCTTTACGCTGGGACTAACGGGTGCCGTCGGCGGCGTCTTGCGGTCAACGGGGTCACTCTGCCCCTCTGCCTGGTCGATCTGCGTCAAAGTGATGGACTCTACCTTGGAGGCAGTCTTCGAGAAGGTGCTAGATTGCTGGGTGCTGGTTGTGCTACTGCTCTGCTGGTCGCTGGATTTCAGTAGAGTAGTTGTCTTGGTAGTGGTTGTCAAATCCTGAGATTTGCTAGAGTGCTGTTGCTCGTGGTGGTCCTCCTCCTGCTCCTCGAGTGTGTCAATCGACTCGACATCCCCGAAGGGCTTGTAGATGCTAGTCATCATGATGGTGGCAATGGACTTGGAGCGTCCCTCCTTCACGCTGGTCCGCTCCTCCTCTTCGTCGCCGTCAATGTCCTCTTCCTCTGGATCGCTGTGGGTCTGGCGACCATCGCTTGTGTGGCTTAGCACTGACTCGCGCCTCGATTCATCCGTGCCGACGAAAAGTGTCCTCTGGGAGGAGGTAGTGCTGCTGGTGGTGGCCTTCCTCAGGCACTCCTCCGCCGTCTTGGAAGCCTCGGCACTGAATGTTTCCTTGGCCGAGACGATCTTCTCCGTGGCCAGAAACTCGGCCACGGTCTCCTTGAGACTTTCATCTCTGGTGCAGCTGCTGCTGATTGCGCTGCTTTCGTGGGTCTCCTCCTTCGTTGCCTTGGACTGGGTCTTCTGGGCGCTGGTTGTCTGGATCTCGCTAACAATGGACTCTGAGGAACACTCTTCGGACTGGATGAGCAGCTCCTCCAGCATCGAAGAGGCTGTGGAGCTTGTCTTCTCCACCAGTTTGATAAGGCTCTCGCTCTCATTGTCCTCCTTGATACTGGTGCTGGTGTCCGCCTTCTCTGTGACCAGGCTGGAGAGAGACTCGCATCGGGAGCCATCTTCTACCTTCAAGCTGCTGCTGAGGGACTCGCTCGACTGGAGGGTGGCAGACTCCTCCTTTAGAAGCCTCTGGCTGGACTTGGACACGGACACCGATTCGCTGGACTTCTCCTCCTTCTTTTCCTCCTTGGTCTCGATTGTTGTTGAGATAATCGACGTCTCCTCGTCTTTGGCGCTTATGTGGCTACTGCTAGAGGGGGGACGCGAGGATTCGGTCTCCTTGACTTCCTTGTCGCTGATGTGACTTGCCACGGATTCGGGATGCGATGCCTCTTTGGTTTCTTCCTTGTCACTCTGGTGGCTCTCACGCCTAGCCGGAGTTGGAGACTTCTCATCCACTGGTTCGGCTATGCTGCTGAGCTGTGAAGCAGGACGCGACGTCTCCTTCGATGCGACCTGAGACTTATCCTGATCCTGCTGGTGCTGCACCTCTTCCTCCTTCGCATGGCTCTTGTGACTTGCAACGGACTCGGGGCGTGAAGGAATTGATTCCGTGGCTCCCTTTTGGCTGGCTGCAGATTCTGGACGGCTCTGGTCCTTACTGGCTGCTCTATCTGCTCCCTCCCGCAGCTGGGCCTTTTCGGACTGCTCGATTTTGTCCTTTTCTTCAATGGAGATGGGACCGGACTTCTGGTCAGGTGAGGACTTTTCGGATTCTATGTCCACCTTTATCACATTGATCTCCAGGGACTCTTTAGTGGGTGTGGAGGCTGTCTTAGGGCTTTTGTCGGACTCCTCCTCATCGGGATCAGCAGACTTTAACTTCTCCTCCAGCTCCTTCTCATCAAAGTCGGGTATGATGTCAGTAATGTCCTTGTCGGACTTCAACACCTTTGCCACGTCAGCCACGATCTTGAAGACCTCCTCCTCGCGCGGCGACAGCGGACGCACGGGCTGTGGTGGCAGCATCGCAGTCTTTTCGGTTGGTGGTGAGAACCTGTGCTCCTCATCCTCTTCCTTGATGTCGTGAAGGACGGGCTCATCGCGCTCACAGATGGTCACTGTGAACTCGGGCGATCCGACGGTGGTGATGTGCGTCTCTCGTAGCTCAGAGAAGCCACTGAGGTCTAGGCTGCCCTTGGCAGAAGCGTCCTCAACTTCGACGACACCTTCTGTGGTAGTTTTGGTGACCAGCTCGGTTATCGCCTTCTCTGAGACGTCAGTGACTTTTTTTGAGACCTCCGTGACTTTCTCTGAGACCTCTGTGAGCATTGCCCCAGCAGTCCCGACAGCAGCGTTGATCAAAGAGGTCACAGCACTCACTTTGGTGTCCACCACAGACTGTAGCTCTGTCAGCTGAGGGCTGCTCTCCTTGCTAACGTTGTCAACGGTCTCCACAACTGTGCTCTCAATAGTCTTCACGCTGGTCGCGCTGTTCTGTTCCAACGTCTGCTCCACAAGTTTCTCATCCACTTCCACCTTGGTGTCCTTGAGATCCAACAAATCAATCAGCCCAGCGCTTCCTGGGTAACTTTCTGCTTGAGTGATATGCTTTTCTACTGTTTCAATGGTTTCTTCGAGGGCTTCCAGTAGTGGGGAAGCCTCATCCACAGGGCTTGAGGCCGTGTGCGCTGTAGCAGCGGCCTGGGAGAGCTCAGCGGGCTTTGACATTGCATTAGATCCACTGGAAGTATCCAGCTGGGCCTTCGAGAAGTCTCCATCGGCTACATCGACAGGACTAGACAGGGTCGGTAGCTTTCCTTTCACTTCGGTTGTGCTTTGGCTCAACTCAAGACCCAAGTCAGCGATGGATTTTGGGCCCTCTTCGATCGGGGACGAAGCTGTTTCTATAGCCGACTCTGGCCGTGACGCGTCCCTTGAGGCAACGGAAGACGACTTCTCATCCTTAACGCTTCCGGTAGCCAATGCGGGTCGCGATACCTCCTTTGATAGAGCAGACGACTTGTCGTCGTTTTTTGTACTTTCCGGCTTAACGATTTCGGCTACCGATTCGCGCCGGGAAGCCTCTAGTGACTTGTCGTCTGTTGTACTTTCAGGCTTGGGGCTAGAAATCGTGGCACCATCGACGGCTGAGTCCGGTCGCGATGTTTCCTTAGAGACAGCGGTAGGAGATGCGCTACTCTTTTTACTCTCAGCCTGGGATTCACGACGCGATGCCTCCTTTGATTTGTCATCAGGTACGCTCTCGCGATTCTCAGCATCGTCTTTGACGCTCTCTACAACGGACTCTGGTCGAGACTCCTTAGATGAGGTTAACTTCGCACTTTCAGGCTTACTAGTTTCTGCGGTTGATTCGCGACGTGATAGTTCCCCTGACTTGACCCCATCACTACCGTCTTCTGCAGGAGATTCTGGCCGCTCCAATTCCTTACAAAAAGGGGAACTGGGGGCTTCATCAACAGGACTCGATACAGTCTTCTCTATACCAACTTGAGCAAGCTCAGCGGGCTTCGGAGGGGCAGACTGTTGTGTTGGGGAGCTAGTTGCTGCGGGAGGAAAGTCTCCATGAGCAATGTCGACAGGACTAGATGCCGTTTGGACATTTCCCTGCAAATCAATGATCAAGGGCAGCACTGTTTTTTTAGCTTGTTCGAATTGTGCGAGATCCTTTGGTGCCTCCTCAATTGGAGATGATGCAGTTCCAGCAACCGAATCCGGTCGGGATGTTTCCTTTGAAGGAACTGGAGACGGTTCCTTTGACTTGTCCGCTATCAAGCTTTCTGGTTTCGTAGAGTCTTCTTTCAGACTTCCGGAGGCAGATGGTGGACGCGAGGGCTCCTTAGATTGGATGGGAGACTTATCTTCCTTAACACTCCCTCCTATGACACTTTCTGCAGGAGAATCTGGTCGCGGCGACACATGCTTAACGATAGAAGGAGATCTCGGCGCTTCATCAACAGGAGACGAGACAGTTTCTGCGATGGAAACTGTTGAGTGTTCTGCCGGTTGAGTGAGCGCGTCTGGTCCCGTTGAAGTGGGTGGAACAACATGTGAAAAGTCGCCCTGGGCAACGTCCACGGGGCTAGATTCTGTAGGAAGCTTGCCAGCCGCCTCCCCTTGCAGGCTTAGCGTTAGGTGAGCTTTTTTTATGAGATCGATTTCTGGAAACTCTTTTTGCGCTTCTTCAATTGGCGAAGAGACCGTTTCCCTAGGCGATACGGATGACTTTTTGGCCTTTTCGTGATGATCAGGAATTCTTTCTGCAACAGATCCAGGCCTTGGTGAAGCTTCCTTTGAAGAACCTGCAGACTTCTCAACTGCTGATTGCCGTCTAGATGCCTCCTTCGACTCGTCCACTACAGTTTCTACCACTTCAGCGTCAGCTTTGACACTTTCCACAACCGATTCTGGTCGAGAAGCTTCCTTTGAGGCAAGTGGAGACTTCTCGTCCTTGGCGCTTCCTTCTTTTACGCTCTCTGCGATAGATTCACGACGGCTTACTGGTTTCTCGGTTTCATCTTTGACGCTCTCTGCTACGGATTCTGGTCGAGAAGCTTCCTTTGAGGCAAGTGGGGACTTCTCGTCCTTGGCGCTTCCTAATTTTACGCTCTCTGCAAGAGATTCACGACGGCCTTCTGGCTTGTCAGCTTCGTCCTTGATGCTTTCCACAACCGATTCTGGTCGAGAAGCTTCCTTTGAGACAAGTGGAGACTTCTCGTCCTTGGCGCTTCCTTCTTTTACGCTTTCTGCGATAGATTCACGACGGCTTACTGGTTTCTCGGTTTCATCTTTGACGCTCTCTGCTACGGATTCTGGTCGAGAAGCTTCCTTTGAGGAAAGTGGGGACTTCTCGTCCTTGGCGCTTCCTAATTTTACGCTCTCTGCAAGAGATTCACGACGGCCTTCTGGCTTGTCAGCTTCGTCCTTGATGCTTTCCACAACCGATTCTGGTCGAGAAGCTTCCTTTGAGGCAAGTGGAGACTTCTCGTCCTTGGCGCTTCCTTCTTTTACGCTCTCTGCGATAGATTCACGACGGCTTTTTGGCTTCTCAGTTTCATCCTTGACGCTTTCCACAACCGATTCTGGTCGAGAAGCTTCCTTTGAGGCAAGTGGAGACTTCTCGTCCTTGCCGCTTCCTTCTTTTAAGCTCTCTGCAACAGATTCGCGACGGCTGTCTGGCTTCTCAGTTTCATCCTTGACGCTTTCCACAACCGATTCTGGTCGAGAAGCTTCCTTTGAGGCAAGTGGAGAATTCTCGTCCTTGGCGCTTCCTGCTTTTACGCTTTCGGCGACAGATTCACGTCGGCTTTCGGTTTTTTCGGCTTCATCTTTGACGCTCTCTGCCACGGATACCGGTCGAGAAGCTTCCGTTGGGGCAAGTGGAGACTTTTCGTCCTTGGCACTTCCTGTTTTCACACTGTCTGCAACCGACTCACGCCGGCTTTCTGGCTGCTCACTTTCAGCTTTGACGCTTTCCACAACCGATTCTGGTCGAGAAGGATCCTTTGAGGCAAGTGGAGACTTCTCGTCCTTGCCGCTTCCTTCTTTTACGCTCTCTGCAACAGATTCTCGACGGCTTTCTGGCTTGTCAGCTCCGTCCTTGACGCTTTCCAAAACCGATTCTGGTCGAGAAGCTTCCTTTGAGGCCAGTGGAGACTTCTCGTCCTTGCCGCTTCCTTCCTTTACGCTCTCTGCGATAGATTCACGACGGCTTTCTGGCTTCTCAGTTTCATCCTTGACGCTTTCCACAACCGATTCTGGTCGAGAAGCTTCCTTTGAGGCAAGTGGAGACTTCTCGTCTTTGGCGCTTCCTGCTTTTACGCTTTCGGCGACAGATTCACGTCGGCTTTCGGTTTTTTCGGCTTCATCTTTGACGCTCTCTGCCACGGATACCGGTCGAGAAGCTTCCGTTGGGGCAAGTGGAGACTTTTCGTCCTTGGCACTTCCTGTTTTCACACTGTCTGCAACCGACTCACGCCGGCTTTCTGGCTGCTCACTTTCAGCTTTGACGCTTTCCACAACCGATTCTGGTCGAGAAGCTTCCTTTGAGGCAAGTGGAGACTTCTCGTCCTTGCCGCTTCCTTCCTTTACGCTCTCTGCGATAGATTCACGACGGCTTTCTGGCTTCTCAGTTTCATCCTTGACGCTTTCCACAACCGATTCTGGTCGAGAAGCTTCCTTTGAGGCAAGTGGAGACTTCTCGTCCTTGGCGCTTCCTGCTTTTACGCTTTCGGCTATAGATTCACGTCGGCTTTCGGTTTTGTCGGGTTCATCTTTGACGCTTTCTGCCACGGCTTCTGGTCGAGAAGTTTCCTTTGAGGCAGCTGGAGACTTTTCGTCCATGGCGCTTTTTGCCTTCACGCTCTCTGCAATCGACTCATCTTTGACGCTCTCTGCCACGGATACTGGTCGAGAAGCTTCCGTTGAGGCCAGTGGAGACTTTTCGTCCTTGGCACTTCCTGCTTTTACGCTTTCGGCGATAGATTCACGTCGGCTTTCGGTTTTGTCGGGCTCATCTTTGACGCTCTCTGCTACGGATTCTGGTCGAGAAGCTTCCTTGGAGGCAAGCGGAGACTTTGCGTCCTTGGAACTTTCTGCCTTCACGCCCTCTGCAACCGACTCACGACGGCTTTCTGGCTTTGCAGCTTCAGCTTTAGCGCTCTCCCCAACAGATTCTGGTTGAGAAGATTCCTTTGAGGCAAGTGGAGACTTCTCGTCCTTGACGATTGCTGCCTTTAAGCTCTCTGCGATAGATTCACGACGGCTTTTTGTTTTCTCGGAATCATCTTTGACGCTTTCTGCTACGGATTCTGGTCGAGAGGCTTCCTTGGAGTCTAATGGAGACTTTTCGTCCTTGACACTTCCTGCTTTAACACTGTCTGCAGCCGACTCACGACGGCTTTCCGGCTTCTCAGTTACATCTTTGACGCTCTCTGCTACGGATTCTGGTCGAGAAGCTTCTATTGAGGCAAGTGGGGACTTCTCGTCCTTGGTGCTTCCTAGTTTTACGCTCTCTGCAACAGATTCGCGACGGCTCTCTGGCTTGTCAGCTTTGTCCTGGACCGATTCTGGCCGAGAAGCTTCCTTTGAGGAAAGTGGAGACTTCTCGTCCTTGGCGCTTGTTGCCTTTAAGCTCTCTGCGACAGATTCACGACGGCTTTCTGTTTTCTTTGCTTCATCTTTGACGCTCTCTGCTACGGATTCTGGTCGAGAAGCGTCCTTTGAGGCAAGTGGAGACTTCTCGTCCTTGGCACTTCCTGCCTTCACGCTCTCTGCAACCGACTCACGCCGGCTTTCTGGCTTCTCGGCTTCATCTTTGACGCTTTCCACGACCGATTCTTGTCGTGAAGCTTCCTTTGAGGCAAGTGGAGACTTCTCGTCCTTGGCGCTTCCTGTTTTCACACTGTCTGCAACCGACTCACGCCGGCTTTCTGGCTTTTCACTATCAGTTTTGACGCTTTCCACAACCGATTCTGGTCGAGAAGGTTCCTTTGAGGCAAGTGGGGACTTCTCGTCCGTGGCACTTCCTGCCTTCACACTGTCTGCAACCGACTCACGCCGGCTTTCTGGCTTCTCAGTTTCGCCTTTGAGGCTCTCTGCTGCGGATTCTGGTCGAGAAGCTTCCTGTGAGGCGTTTGGAGACTTCTCGTCCTTGGTGCTTCCTAGTTTCACGCTCTCTGCAACTGATTCACGACGGCTCTCTGGCTTGTCAGCTTTGTCCTGGACCGATTCTGGCCGAGAAGCTTCCTTTGAGGAAAGTGGAGACTTCTCGTCCTTGGCGCTTGCTGCCTTTAAGCTCTCTGCGACAGATTCACGACGGATTTCTAGTTTCTCGGTTTCATCTTTGACGCTCTCTGCCACGGATTCTGGTCGAGAAGCTTCCTTTGAGGCAAGTGGAGACTTCTCGTCCTTGGCACTTCCTGCCTTCACGCTCTCTGCAACCGACTCACGCCGGCTTTCTGGCTTCTCGGCTTCATCTTTGACGCTTTCCACGACCGATTCTGGTCGTGAAGCTTCCTTTGAGGCAAGTGGAGACTTCTCGTCCTTGGCACTTCCTGCCTTTACACTGTCTGCAACAGATTCACGACGGCTTTCTGGTTTCTCGATTTCATCTTTGACGCTCTCTGCCACGGATTCTGGTCGAGAAGCTTCCTTTGAGGCAAGTGGAGATTTTTCGTCCTTGGCACTTCCTACTTTTGCGCTCTCTGCGTTAGATTCACGACGGATTTCTAGTTTCTCGGTTTCATCTTTGACGCTCTCTGCCACGGATTCTGGTCGAGAAGCTTCCTTTGAGGCAAGTGGAGACTTCTCGTCCTTGGCACTTCCTGCCTTTACACTGTCTGCCATAGATTCACGACGGCTTACTGGTTTCTCGGTTTCATCTTTGACGCTCTCTGCCACAGATTCTGGTCGAGAAGCTTCCTTGGAGGCAAGTGGAGCCACTTCGTCCTTGGCACTTCCTGCCTTCACGCTTTCTGCAACCGACTCACGCCGGCTTTCTGGCTTTTCACTATCAGTTTTGACGCTTTCCACAACCGATTCTGGTCGAGAAGGTTCCTTTGAGGCTAGTGGAGCCACTTCGTCCTTGGCACTTCCTACTTTTGCGCTCTCTGCGTTAGATTCACGACGGATTTCTAGTTTCTCGGTTTCATCTTTGACGCTCTCTGCCACGGATTCTGGTCGAGAAGCTTCCTTTGAGGCAAGTGGAGACTTCTCGTCCTTGGCACTTCCTGCCTTTACACTGTCTGCCATAGATTCACGACGGCTTACTGGTTTCTCGGTTTCATCTTTGACGCTCTCTGCCACAGATTCTGGTCGAGAAGCTTCCTTGGAGGCAAGTGGAGCCACTTCGTCCTTGGCACTTCCTACTTTTGCGCTCTCTGCGTTAGATTCACGACGGATTTCTGGTTTCTCGGTTTCATCTTTGACGCTCTCTGCCACGGATTCTGGTCGAGAAGCTTCCTTTGAGGCAAGTGGAGACTTCTCGTCCTTGGCACTTCCTGCCTTCACGCTTTCTGCAACCGACTCACGCCGGCTTCCTCCCTTCTCCGTTTCATCTTTGACGCTCTCTGCCACAGATTCTGGTCGAGAAGCTTCCTTAGAGGCAAGTGGAGCCACTTCGTCCTTGGCACTTCCCACTTTTGCGCTCTCTGCGATAGATTCACGATGGATTTCTGGTTTCTCGCTTTCATCTTTGACGCTCTCTGCCACGGATTCTGGTCGAGAAGCTTCCTTTGAGGCAAGTGGAGACTTCTCGTCCTTGGCATTTCCTGCCTTCACGCTTTCTGCAACCGACTCACGCCGGCTTTCTGGTTTCTCGGTTTCATCTTTGACGCTTTCCACGACCGATTCTGGTCGAGAAGCTTCCTTTGAGGCAAGTGGAGACTTCTCGTCCTTGGCACTTCCTGCCTTTACACTTTCTGCAACAGATTCACGACGGCTTTCTGGTTTCTCGATTTCATCTTTGACGCTCTCTGCCACGGATTCTGATCGAGAAGCTTCCTTTGAGGCAAGTGGAGACTTCTCATCCTTGGCACTTCCTGCCTTCACGCTCTCTGCAACCGACTCACGCCGGCTTTCTGGCTTCTCGGCTTCATCTTTGACGCTTTCCACGACCGATTCTGGTCGTGAAGCTTCCTTTGAGGCAAGTGGAGACTTCTCGTCCTTGGCACTTCCTGCCTTTACACTGTCTGCAACAGATTCACGACGGCTTTCTGGTTTCTCGATTTCATCTTTGACGCTCTCTGCCACGGATTCTGGTCGAGAAGCTTCCTTGGAAGCAAGTGGAGACTTCTCGTCCTTGGCACTTGCTGCCTTCACGCTTTCTGCAACCGACTCACGCCGGCTTTCTGGCTTCTCGGCTTTATCTTTGACGCTTTCCACGACCGATTCTGGTCGAGATGCTTCCTTTGAGGCAAGTGAAGACTTCTCGTCCTTGGCACTTCCTGCCTTTACACTGTCTGCAACAGATTCACGACGGCTTTCTGGTTTCTCGATTTCATCTTTGACGCTCTCTGCCACGGATTCTGGTCGAGAAGCTTCCTTTGAGGCAAGTGGAGATTTTTCGTCCTTGGCACTTTCTGCCTTTACACTGTCTGCAACAGATTCACGACGGCTTTCTGGTTTCTCGATTTCATCTTTGACGCTCTCTGCCACGGATTCTGGTCGAGAAGCTTCCTTTGAGGCAAGTGGAGACTTCTCGTCCTTGGCACTTCCTACCTTCACGCTCTCTGCAACCGACTCACGCCGGCTTTCTGGCTTCTCGGCTTCATCTTTGACGCTTTCCACGACCGATTCTGGTCGAGAAGCTTCCTTTGAGGCAAGTGGAGACTTCTCGTCCTTGACACTTCCTGCCTTTACACTGTCTGCAGCAGATTCACGACGGCTTTCTGGTTTCTCGATTTCATCTTTGACGCTCTCTGCCACGGATTCTGGTCGAGATGCTTCCTTCGAGGCAAGTGGAGATTTTTCGTCCTTGGCACTTTCTGCCTTTACACTGTCTGCAACAGATTCACGACGGCTTTCTGCTTTTTCGGTTTCATCTTTTACGCTCTCTGCTACGGATTCTGGTTGAGAAGCTACCTTTGAGGCAAGTGGAGACTTCTCGTCCTTCGCACTTCCTGCCTTTACACTGTCTGCAACAGATTCACGAGGGCTTTCTGCTTTTTCGGTTTCATCTTTTGCACTCTCTGCTACGGATTCTGGTCGAGAAGCTTCCTTTGAGGCAAGTGGAGACATCTCGTCCTTGGCACTTCCTGCCTTCACGCTTTCTGCAACCGACTCACGCCGGCTTTCTGGCTTCTCAGTTTCATCTTTGACGCTTTCCACGACCGACTGTGGACGAGAAGCTTCCTTTGAGGCAAGTGGAGACTTTTCGTCCTTTTCACTTCCTGCCCTTACACTGTCTGCAACAGATTCACGACGGCTTTCTGGTTTCTCGATTTCATCTTTTACGCTCTCTGCAACGGATTCTGGTCGAGAAGCTTCATTGGAGGCAAGTGGAGATTTTTCGTCCTTGGCGCTTGCTGCCTTCACGCTCTCTGCAACCGACTCACGCCTGCTTTCTGGCTTCTCAGTTTCATCTTTGACGCTCTCTGCTGCGGATTCTGGTCGAGAAGCTTCCTTTGAGGCAAGTGGAGACTTTTCGTCCTTGGCACTGCCTGCCTTTACACTGTCTGCAACAGATTCAGGATGGCTTTCTGGCTTCTTGATTTCATCTTTGATGCTCTCTGCCACGGATTCTGGTCGAGAAGCTTCCTTGGAAGCAAGTGGAGATTTTTCGTCCTTGGCGCTTTCTGCCTTCACGCTCTCTGCAACCGACTCACGCCGGCTTTCTGGTTTCTCGGTTTCATCTTTGACGCTTTCCACGACCGACTCTGGTCGAGAAGCTTCCTTTGAGGCAACTGGAGACTTTTCGTCCTTGGCACTGCCTGCCTTCACACCGTCTTCAACAGATTCACGCCCGCTTTCTGGTTTCTCGATTTCATCTTTGACGCTCTCTGCAACGGATTCTGGTCGAGAAGCTTCCTTGGAAGCAAGTGGTGATTTTTCGTCCTTGACACTTGCTGCCTTCACGCTCTCTGCAACCGACTCACGCCTGCTTTCTGGCTTCTCAGTTTCATTTTTGAAGCTCTCTGCTGCGGATTCTGGTCGAGAAGCTTCCTTGGAGGCAAGTGGAGATTTCTCGTCATTAGCTTTTCCTGCTTTTACGCTTTCCGCAATCGACTCTCGACGGCTTCCTAGCTTCTCAGTTACATCTTTGACGCTCTCTGCCACGGATTCTGGTCGAGAAGCTTCCTTTGAGGCAGGTGGAGACTTCTCGTCCCCTGCGCTTCCTGCTTTCACGCTTTCCGCAACCGATTCTCGACGGCTTCCTGGCTTCTCAGTTTCATCTTTGACGCTGTCTGCCACAGATTCTGGTCGAGAAGCTTCCTTGCTTCCTGCCTTTAAGCTTTCTGCGAGCGATTCACGATGGCTTGCGAGATTTTCGGCTTCGTCTTTGATACTTGCTGCCGCAGAAACTGGCCGGGAGGCTTCCTTAGATGTAATTGAAGACTTCATATCCGTTACGCTCTCCCTGCGAGATGGTTCTTGTTCCTGTTTTGAAGCATCAGCTTCCCCCGGTTCTTTTTTGGAAAGGCGTGGTTTTTCTTGCTGCTTCTCGAGCTTTACTTCCACTTCAACCGCTTCCTCAATGGTGGCAGGACTCTCCATGGAGATAGTGTCCTCGCGGTCCTTGGCCTTTGGCGATGGTGCGGTTGCAGGTCCAGTCATATGAGCAGGGAGCTCGTCTTCGGAAGTAATGTCACTGGTTTCCTTTTCTTCTGGGGTGCTCGCTGACTTCTTAGCCTCTTTCTCAGTGATGATCGTTGCCTCTAAATTCGTTTCGTGCTCATGGCTCTCTTGGGCTGTGACCACCACTGTATCTACTTTCTCCTCCACCTCCTTATGGGTAATTTCCTCCGCTTGTTTCTCCACGACGGCAGCTGTTGGGGTTGTGGGCTTGACTGCTTCTTGGGCAGCCCCTACATCTTTGTTAGCTTCCTGTAAATCTTCAACCTCGACTTCAGACTCCTTGGTTTCTTTTTCGTCGTCGGTTTCCTTTTCTTCCTTGGCGGACTCCTCCTTGTGCGAAATGCTTTTGGCGCCTATATCCTGGCTGTCCTTCTCGTACAGGCCCAGATCGGCCTCCTCATGGACGGGCAGGTCGGCAACCTCATCGGGTGTCTTGATTACATCCCTCATTAGGTTCTGTTGCGCTTCAAAGGTCATCTTCATGGGCAGAACTCGATCTCCCGATTCGGGAAGCTCGGCAGCCTGGACTATGTTTTTCGCATCCTTGGGCGCCACCGCGGCGGCGATTGCAGCGGTCGAGGCAGCTGTGCCTGGAGCTGTATCGGGCAATATTACTCTGGCCACAACGATTGCTTCCACTTCTTTGGTTTCCTCTTTAACGTACTTCTCCTCGATGACCAGGTCCTCCTTTATCTGGTCCAGCGGAATGCGCTCGTCCTCGGGTAGAGTAGGGGCTGTGGTTGCACCTGACTCGATGGTGGCGGAGAACTTCTCCTCTGGAAGACTTTCCTGCAGATTAATTGGCAGGGCTTCGGGCGCCTCCAAGGGTTCGTCCTTGGTGTCCGAAGTCTTTTTGCTGATTTTTTCCTCGGGTGTTGGCGAGGATAGCTCCTCCTCGGGCTTCGCCAGTTGCTCCTCGGTACGCGACTTGACAATGTCCTTGGCCGAGGCGATAATCTCCTGCAGCTCGGCCTTGATCTCCCCCTCTGTGGTCAGATCCTCGTGTCTCCCTGATACGACTGCGGCGGCACCACTGCCTTCCAGCCGGGCCTTGCGTTCGGCGGCTTCCACCTTCGCAATGGCGGCCTCGATCTCCTCCTCCGCGCTCTTCTTGCGCTTCTTCTCGGACTCTTGGGAGTCGCGCTGATGTTTCTGGATCTCCTCCTCCTTTGTAATGCTGCTCTCTTGCTCGATGATCGAGTCCTCAGTGTACTGCTCCACCTCTTCCTTCTCGATGATCAGGTACTCCTCCTCCTCTTCGGCCTCAGTAGTGCTGTCCTGCTTGGCCATTTCCCGCAGCTCGGCCTTGATTAGCTGCTGGCGCTTCATCTCGTCCCGGCTAAAAACCGCCTCGATCTCGCGCACCACCTCCTGCTCCTCCTTAAGGTCATCCAGCTCGCGCTGCTTCTCTGCATCGAGCTCCTGGGAGGCGGACAGCTCTTGCAGCTTCTTGGCAGCTGTCGCATCGTCGGCCGATGGCGTCGATACGAGACTCGAATCCGTGGTGCCACCTTTGTCAAGACGCGCCTTTTTCAGGTCCGCTGCTTTCGGCTTGGCCTGCTTGATGGGACTGCCTGGTGCCGGTGCCCGCTTCGAGGGAGACACCCCACGGGGTCGCCTCGAGATTGGCTTCCGTTGAGCCGAAGCTTGCGCCGTCGCCTTGGAATCTGCTTGACTCTGCTGCGTCTTCCTCTCAGTGGTAGCGGTGGCTGTGGCAGTGGTGTTGCTGCTGCTGGTGGCACGCCGCGTGGTGGCACTGATGGTTGTCTGACGTCCGGCGGCCGCCGCTGCTGCCTGCTGTTTGGACTCCAGCACCTTGCGATTATTGGCCTCCTTGGCGCTCTTGGCAGGGGTGCTACTGGGGCTAGACTTGGTGGCCGGGCGGGCCATCGCCTTGTACTTGCCATCACGCGAGGCGTTCGCACGGTACGCGGGCGTGGCCGTGGGTGAACTCTTCTTCTCCTCGCGCTTCACCAGCTTCCGGTCCATGGACTTGGGTGGCTTCGTGTCGATCCTGGAGCGCACCACGGGCTTTACTTCGGCGCGTGGTTTGTCCGGCTTGCCCTTAGCTGCCTTTCCTGTTGCTTGCTTGCTGGTAGATGTGGCATCTGCAGGACTTGCCGTTACCCCCTCCACGGCCACGGCATCGACGGCATCCTTGGACGGTGCTGCTGCTGGCGTCTCCACTTTCTTTTCCTCATCCTTGTTGTCCAGCTCGGGCTTCTCCTGTTCCCCAGTCTCCTGTTCGGGCTCCGCATCGGCCTCGGCATCGGCTGGCTCGGACTCTGCAGGCGCTGCCTCATCTCCAGTGTCTGCTCCTGGTTCCACCTCCGGCTCAACATCCGTGTCCATGGAGTCTGCCTTGTTGCGGACTATCGAGGCAGCAGCAGTGGCAGAAGCAGCCGCCGCTGCAGCTGCAGCTGCTGCCTTTGCAGCCTCCTCCTTGGCCTTGTTGTCCTGCTGCTGGTGCTGCGGCTGGTGATGCTGGACGGCAACGGCGGCACTGGCGACTGGTCCAAACTTGGAAATAGGCTTATAGCTGGCGCTGGGTGGCGCTGGCGTAGCCTCGATGGCAGACTTGAGGCTCTTGCGAGTGCTAGCGACAGTCTGTATGGCCGGAGCAATGGACTTGGCCGTGCACGTGGAGTGCTTCATGAACTCGAGATGCTTGAGCTTCTCGAGGCCTTCTTGGATCTTAAAGTCAGGCGTACTGCCAGGGAACAGGATGCGAGTGATGGTGTCGTCCGGGTTGGCGGGCTGCCACACGAGCAGGGCGCAAATGGAGACGAGATTTTGCAGCGGGAAGTTGAAGTCCTTGGAATCGCGGGCGGAGAACAATCGCTGATCGCCGGCATTCCACTTCTGCATGAACTCCTTCACCTCCTTGGAGTCACGGGCCGGACTGATCACATACATGTCCAGTGTGCCGTGGCCCACCTTGTGATACAGGTTGATCGGCTCCTGGTTGCGGTAGCAGCTCTGCGGCTTCAGATCCAGTGACTTCAGGTCACTCACGATGCCATGGCCCCGCTCGAACAGGTCGATCAGCAACGGATTGCGATCCTTGTCACCATCGGGACTAGGCAGTCCCTTGCGGTCAGGTACATTGCCGAAGAAGTGGCCGATCTGGGGGTAGACGTGCGAGTCCCGCTTCCGGGAGACCACTGCCCCAAGGCCCTGCACATTGCTGTTGTTCAGGCGCGTCATAAGCACAGCGTCCAGTCGGTCCAGGTGGCGGGCAAAATCCCAAAAGCATGCCTTACGATTGAAGCCGCCATCCACTGTAATGATAGGGCAAGAAAAAGCTCAGCTTGGGGGCGCATTATCTTGAAGGGCTTTAATACTCACCGAGCATATTAAAGCCGTTGATCCCAAAGAGAGCCGCATCGCCCTGACCGCCGGGGAACACATAGAGCGTGGGATGCGTAAAGCGAATGTTTCCCACCACATCTGATGTCTCGAGCAGCTCCCGCAGAGACGTGGGCATCACCATGGGCGCTAGGTAATCTGCGGGAGGTGAATTGGGGAATCAGAATCGGGGAGGGTCCAACCCATAAATCACAGGTGGAACTCACCCAAGAACCCATTGATGCACTCACTGCTGGTGTCCAGCACATCCACGGGATTGATGCGGATTTTACATTGACGCGCGAATGATTTCTCCGGCAGCGTGTGCCACAGGCCCGCATCCGCGCAATGGATGTTCATGGTGATGGTGTCCGCGTAGGCGCGAATCACCCTTTGTACGTCGTGCTCCTGAAACGCCTCGGCAAAGTCGGCCACCGAGAAGGTTCCATCCTGTAATAGTAACCATAAAGCGTTAGCCTGTGTGGTAAACCACTCCAGTAATCATCCAGTAAAAACACCCACCTGCAGTATCCAGGAACCATTGCCGCTGAAAGTGTAGCCGGCGTGGATGATGTGCCGATGGCGGGTGAAGCTGCTGAGCAGATTGCGCATGCACTGGATCAGCGTATTGTACTGCGGATGGATGAGCACCTCTGTCACCAGATTCTCGCTGGCATACTGTATGAGACGTTCACCTGTGGATCGGAATTGGGGTTTAATGGGAGGCATCATTTACATTTAAAGGGAGAATATAGCTACCCCAAAGCCCCCTTTTGCGTGACCTCGTTACGTAGCCCCTCGCACCCTCAGACTTTAATGAATCTATGGGCAAAGGGGCTTTGACAGACGCTTAAGGGGCTACGGGCACGGACTTGGACTCGAGCACGCACACGAAATCAAGTGGATTTCAATTGTGGGGCGATGTTCGGAGTCCGTGACGATGCTGGGAAATTATTTAATAAATCTTTAATTTAAATGCTTTAATTAAGTGGTTGGTCGCTGGTTTGTCGCCGGTTCAGGTGCGACCTTGCTGGCGACCTTGGCATCTACTCTCTACACCCCCAATCCCTCTGTGACCCTCCACCCCGTCCTCTATGATGATGATGATAATGATGCCGCATATGATGACGTTCGCTCTTTTTCCCTGAGTCCGGACCCCCCAAAATGGTTTTATGGGGCATGGTATGCGTATCATACGTAAATAATTTACGCATTTTCCGCACTAAATAGTCGTTGACAAAGAGCCAACAGGCAGAGAGGCAGAGAGACAGAGAAACAGAGACGGGGTGGGTGTAGAGGCAGGGTCAGCGTTAGGCAAGCTTTCGCCCATGCAACGCCCACGTGTATGTGGAAGTGTGTGGCCGTGGCAGCGAGCGGTCAAATGTGCTCACGTACGCGTAAAAAAATACAAGAAGAGCATTAACGGGGGTGCACATCCTATGGCTTCTACCAACCCATCATCCACCCCCTCTTCCGCTTTTTCTCTTCCATCTCTCTCTCTTTCTCTATCTCCATAGCTGGCTCTCTGTGTGTGTGTGTGTATCCCTTGTGCTTTTTATAAATGATAATCTTTCCAGAGCCCGACCTGCGTGTGCGCTGGCTTATATATTTATCGCATGGAACCATGTAGCAGCACACGGAATGTTTGTGTGCATGACACCCCGTTCCTTGCCACCGACACTAGCACTGGCACTGCCACAGGTCCCACCCACAGGCCAGGACCTGTGCGTATACGCAATTCCCATGAATTTAGGTTGCCCCCTGCCGTACCCTACTGCCATCTCTGTGTGTCTGTCTGGTCTGTCACTTGCACACTCGCATAATCGTAAGAATGTATAGTTTATAACTAGGCTGTGGGACACCCAAAGGACATGCCCTGAAGAAGGTGGCATGGCCTGGCATTAGCATCTTGTTGGCCTTTCCCATTCTCCCCATCGATATTACTGAAGAACCCAGCAAATGGAATGCCAATCGTGCTGCAGATTGCAATAAACTTCAATCTAAAACTGTCTGGGGGGAAATTCGTGGACCCTTTTTCCCAGGACAAGAGGGGAATAAGTCAGAGAGAGAGAGAGAGAGAGAGAGAGAGAGAGACTTCCATCGATATTAAAAGCTATTGGAGCTAGATTTAAACGACAATCGAAACTGAAATTGGACTTTAGATTGAGATGAAAGAAGGGCCAGGTGACACGCTCAAAGCAGACTCCTCAATTCAGTGACTAGACTTTAAGACCACTTGAAGAGTCGAAATCCAAAAGTTAGTGCCACACCCGCCACACAATGAAAAGTTTCATCAGAGTGCTTAAAGCAAAGCCCCCACAGTGCCCCAGGGTGGGGGCCACAGCCCAGGACTTAGTGCGGCACTTGACAAGGCAAAACAGGAGGGACGACGGAAGGGAAAGCTGCATTCTCTGCTGCAGGACAAGCGCTTTTGGAAGCAGTAGATGATCCTTCCCCCACACCTTACCAAAGTGGCAGCATGGCGCCAGATTAACCGTTAATAGCTGCTCTTCGCTACGGCCAGAGATGCCCCAACTTTTGAAACTAAAAAAGAGAAACGCAAAAAACGAGCAACGAGAAAAAACTCAAAACAATTTCCATAACAGGCGGCAGGCGGAAACTTTTTGTGTTTTTTATGATTTTATATGATTTTTTTTTGTTTTTTTATTTGACTCCAAAGTAATTACAGTTACGAGCCAGCCTTTCTACCCTCTCCGGCTCCCAGTCTTCCACCTTCTGCACCTCCTTTACTTTCTGCCACCCCAAGGGCCAGGGAAAAGTTTCCTGTCAAGCCAGCGCGCACGTGTAAAAAAAAGTTTCAAAATGACCTTTTGCACGCTGAAAACCTCCAGAACCTCCAGAACCTCCAGAGCCTCGGCACCCGCTCTCCTACTTTCATGCTTTCCCGTTGCCCCAAAACTGACTACGAAAGGCTGGAAAATTGCTCAAAATTAAATAAAAAGGCAGCCGCATGAATGCAAATTTTGAGCTGTCGAAACCAGGAGACCAGATGAGTGGCAGATCTCTCAACCATGGCATAAGTTTGAGAAAAGGAAGGAGGATGCACAATAAGGGGAAGAGCAGGGGAGAATAGAGGAAACAATATTTGAAATTCGCATTAGATAATTGAGTTCTAGAGAGTTCGAAAAAGAGAGGTGAAGAAACCAGGGCCGGCTTTAGGGCGAGGCGTGAGTGGCCGGCAGGGCGTCGTATGTTTAATGTTTAATGATCTTGGGGGGTATTTCTGTTTTACCTAGTGTAGATACAATACAGATACTCGTAGAAACAATAACTATGGATAATGGGAGTTTAAGTGCATCCACACGCTGTCAATGGGTGATGGGCCATCCGCTCCAGGCTCCAATGGCCATTGGCCGATGGCCAATGTGCCGTGGGGCCATCATTAATCAGTCGGGAAGCCGCCTGGGCCTGGGCAACACATATTATGCCGGAATTATCTCTGGTCTTGTCTATGGTCTCTGGTTACGTAAATGTGGAGACTGGCGGACTGACGTGGATGGATAGATGGATGGTAGGATGGCTGCACTGGATCGGGTTGGTGGTTGGGTTCTCCTGTTGAACACGACCGATAACATGTTGTAAACGTCTAGCGGTATGTTATCATCCATTCTCCACTCTATCCTCCTACTGCTCTGTCGCACTGCACTGCCGCACTGGTTGCCTGCTCTCTTCCGCTTCCTTGCATAATTAAAAGGATGCCCTCGCAAAGAGTCTCCCACTCTCCCGCAAATGACATACATCAGCTGTTCTGTTATGTTGTGTCCTGTCCATGTGGCTTGATATTAATTGATGCCCTGTCACCATGCGACCATCATCATCATCGTCATCATTATCATCAACCAACAATGCAATGGAAGGAATGGAGGACGAAGAACTATGGGAGGGATGGTAGGTCGGTTTGAGGAACACTTGTAATATCCATTGCTGCTTCTTGTTCCTCTTATTCTTCTTGTCAGGCACATCATCATAGTTTTATTTGCTTATCGCTGGGCCCCAAGCAGTAAAGTAGTTCCTCCTTCTCGTATCACTTCTCTCATATGCAAATCATGTCCATCCATCTATTCTGTCTGTCTGGCTGTGTGTGTGCGTCTCTCTCTCTCCCTCTCTCTCTCTCTCTCTTTGTGTCCTATTCTCTCCCCGTCCATCCCTTTTTCTCTTCTCTTTTCTCTGTCAGTTAGTCGCTCTGTCAGTTTCCTATTTGCCTAACTTTTCAGTCAGTGGAGATGGAAATGGATGTGGAAATGGAGGCGTGTGTTCTCCTACTCATCTTTTCTGTTACTTCTACCTCTACCTCTACCTCTCCCTCTTCCTGCTCGCTCTCTCCCTTTCTGACTTGAATTATGCATGAGACACGCACACAGACACAAACACCCACACACACACATCCATTGTCAATACGGCCTTGTAGGCGTGTTCCTCAATCTCCCTCACTCGCTTTCTCCTACTCTCTCCTCCAAGGCACGGCATGGACCCTGTCTATCTATCAATTTTGCATACGTCTTATCTCAAGAATTTCTATGGGTTTTCAGGTTATGTTGGGTCGTGATACGACTCTTTGGCATCTGCCTTCCATTGTACCTACATCCCCTACATCCTTTTCAATGCTTATGTAGATTTCAGCTTAGGGGCGAGCAATAAGAATGTGTCCAAATCCCTGATGATCCGTAGGCAGAGTAGAGAAGTGGAACACACTTGGCACGGCAAATTGGGGAAAGATGAGTAATGTGTGGAAATGTAGGGAGAACAGCAAAAAAAAAGAAGGTAGTAGACGGAACAAAATAGGAACAGAAAGTAGTGCCAAGTAGTAGTAAGTGGAGAGTGGAAAATCGAAAGTGGAGAAGTGAAACGAGTAGAATAAAGAGTATGGAAAGAAGTGGAGCGAGTGGAGGGAATTCTGAAAAAAGAAGTGACTAGAGAATTTAGAATAGCGAGTGTGACCAAAGAGTAGCGAGTGTTTTGAGACGACAGTTTTACGAGACGAGTGAATAAAACGTCTAACCATGTAGCTCCTTGGCTTTCGCGCCGCAGTCTTTCTATCTCCCAGCCTAGTAAAGGAAGTTTCAACAAAGTCAAATTTGATGAAACATCATTAACGAAGACTCTTGTATCTAGCGATTGCAGAAATGCGAGTGGCGACTGGCAAGATGAGTAGTGAGTCAGATTTGAACCCTAGTGGGTGACGATCAAACAGGTACCAAAAGCGGAAGCCGCAAAACTTTCAAGGAATCAATCACCTTTGTTTCTGGTCAAGCCTCAGAGTCAGAACCCATTGAGGAGGGGTCACCCAAGGGAGCGTTATCTGGATGACGAGCACTTTAAGAGCGCGAGCGCACGTGCTGCAGAGTTTCAAAGTTCTTCCTGTCCGCCTCACAAACAAACTTAGGCAAACAGTGCGTCAAACTCAATTTTTACAGGAGAGAATGCAAGTCGGGAACAGGAAACTTGATGGTTGTGGGGCTTATAATTTTTCCATGGATGCTGGAGGAGAGTGAAGGAAAGCCATAAAAAATGAATTATGCGCTTATTAACGAATGTTTGTAATTGCTGGAAAAGTTTCCATCCACTTCTACCCTGTCGCCTCTTAAGTACACGAGTATCTCCTTTGGCAGTTGTTCTGACAAGTGCCTCCTCCTCCTCTCCCTCCTACTCCGCACAATGACAGGCAGCACGCACGACGGTGGACAAATCGTGGACCAGGGCTCTGCGCCAGGACCAGGAGCACCCAGACGAAGCACAAAGCGCTCGCTGAAGCGGATGCATTCTGTGCATTCTCAATCGCGCCTCAAGAGCCTTCGCCCTGCGGCCTTCAGGATCTCTGCCGCTGGCTTTGCTTCTGCCTTTGGCTTTGCTTATGTCCATAGTTATGCTTGGTGCGGCATGTAGCACTATGGCTGCGTTGCACCATCATTATTGGGCTTGGACCGCGGCGCTCTGAGGGGAGCGCCACTTGAGAATTTTGTTTGAGTAGTTTCGAAACGAAATGCGATTGCAAATGCAAATGGAAAATGAAAAAAAAACCACCGCTGGCGCTGCCAACTTTTTCCATGCCATTGTCCGCGCGGCTGAATGGGAGCGCATTGAGTCCAGGTGTTGCACTTAGCATGTCCTTCAGGGACACCGCCTCAACGTCAGAGCAGCAGAAGCAGCGTCAGCAGCAGGCAACACCCCAAAAACACACCTTATCAGTGCCGTAAGTACTTTGTGGCTTCTGTTCTGCTTAGTTGGTTCCCTGCTGTTTGGAGCATTGGGATGTTTTAAAAAGCGTTGTCTCAAGGAAAAGGTTCCGCTTGAAATCTTAAAGCGGAACGACGGGTGCTCCATTTCGGGAAAGCTATCTGATCAGACTCAAATTGGTTGTAGAATCAAAGATGCAACCACAGAAAGTGACAAGCGATGGATCCACAGGGGAAGATTGCATGAATATTATTATCCATAGTTAGTATTATTACATGGAATTGATGAGTATGTCTATCTACAAAAATCAGTGGCCATAAGAGGCATTATCCTTCTGAAATCGATTACACTCCAATGTGATACTTCAAACCAGGAGATAAAACCCCCTCAAACAGTGGTAGGGAACAGGCAGATTAGTCTGCAGAAGAGCCAATCAGTAGATGATTCGAATCTCAGTCAATCTCTGCGTCAGCTGTCGGAGTCCCTGTCTCGGTAATCATCTCCAAAGCCAGGACTCAACGAAGTGCGCAAACAACAAACAATGCGGCACAAAAGCCAACAGAGGAGAGATGACAGCAAAGAGCGAAGAGTGAAGAGTGGAGAACGAAGATTGATGAGAGGAGGGGGAGGGGGACGAGGAGAATGGCTTTCCCACTGTCGATGCACTGGAAGCCACTTGAATGCATTTCTACAACGTTTTAGACTAATCCGCAAAGACAACAACAGCAGCAGCGACCAAGAGGCCCGCCCGTAACCCAAGCCCCAAGCGTTCTGCAAGCGTTGGCTCTAGCTCCAGCTCTGCCTCATTGTTCCATTTTGCCTCTGTCGATAATGATGTTGATGATGATGTTGTTGCCGGCGTTGTTGCACTTGGGGCAAATGAAAATGCAGCCTCTCGTTGGATTTATCACAAAAGCCAGAACGACAAAACAACAAAACAACAAAAGCATGAAAGCATTAAATCGTTGAGTTTTCGTTGGCTTTTGTGCATTCAATTGTTGGTTCGCTCCCCCCATTGCCCCGCTCGTTGCGCTTTGGGGCCCCAATCCTCCTCGTTATGGCTTATGGCGTATGGCTTATGGCTTATAGATGCCTGCTGTTTGCAAAGACAATTGTCATAATAATTCGTTAGGATAACTTTGTAATTTGCCACAGCCTCTGCTCTTTTGATGATGAACTCTCGATGAAGCGACGCGCTTACTGTGCTGCCTGCCCCTTCTAGGATACTCCTACCGATTGGTAGGACCCTTCAAAGGCTACATATTTAAGGAGAAAAATCTGAAAGGAAGACTTACCGTGACGGGCCTCCTCGCCCTCGGGCGCGTGTTGTGTTATTGTATTGAGCTCCTCCTCCAAGTCGACGTGGCAGTCAGATACGTCCCAGGAGAGGAATCCTGCAAAAGAAACAGAGGTAAAGAATAAGAGATATGCATATAAGAAAACAAAAGTAAGAATTGGTTTCAAGGGGAAAAAGTTAGAGAGCCAAAAAGGACAAACCAGAAACCAATACCAACGATTATTGCAATAGAATCTGAACCTGATTGCATTTTTTATTTGATTAGAGTTCGATTATGTGTATGGAAGTGGGGTTTCGGGTGCTAACTGTTCATATATTTATGCCACAGAATGTATCTTTTTATACCACGCAAATTGTCAGATTCAGATTCAAAACATATTTTTGTTTCTGCTGGAAATAAGAAGGTCGTCATGGTTTTCCCCTCCCGGCAGCCCACCCATCCATCACTTGCGGGGGAGCCCTCGTCCTCCAGTCGTCCTCCCTAAACCCTTATATTAGTTTATGCATTAATTTTGTGTAATATTTTATACACAGTATCTGCAAATAGTAGTTAGCTCTCAGTAGTTTTTGATAAATGAGCAGCCAGGGTTAAAGAGAGAGACAGAGGGAGCGAGGTCGCATTACGCATACGCCACGATGGACAAGGATATTTGCTTAGACTGTGCTCTGGGCCCATTCTCACTCCTAATCCGAATCCCAATCCCACTTTGCCACCTCCTCCTAATGCTGCTACTGTTCCAGCTGTGTATTATGTCATTTGGTCAACAAATTAAGTCAGCAATCGCCCCAACCTTCCCGTGCAGAGTGCTCCTCTTCCATCATCAACCACTTTCGACGTGAGTATTCGCAAGTTCTGTATAGAACTGCTAGGGAGGAAGAAGGCCATCCCCGTGACTCGTAGCGTTTGATACTCTGTCAGATTCATCATTCAATAACTTCACCATTCCATAAAAGAAACGGATTCTCCTTTAAACGATCGAAGACCTATAGAGTATGACAGATACATATATCAACCATACTACACTACTGAAATCTCTGGCCAGCACAATAAAAATTAATTTAACAAAATAAGGCTACATTGAGCGACAAAGAGTGCGTGCGGGAGAGACAGAAAACGTGTCTGAACATGTCGTCGGGCGCTGCGTAGCCCTTGCAAATTGATTTATTCCTTTTGGCTATAAAAATGATCCGATCTGATCCACATTCGGCAATCTGGTAGATCTGGTCATTTTCTACGATTCTGCGTTTTTGGTTTTCGTTCACAGATTTTCGTTCTTTGTGGAGGAGTAAAGCGGCGGGGCGAACTTTTGAAATACACTTGTAACAATAACATATCACAGAAGTCTGGATACAAAATGTCGGTGCTCTAGCTCTTATAGTCTCTGAGCACTAGGCGCTCATAGGGACGGACAGACGGACGGACGGACAGGCGCACATGGCTCAATCAACTTGGTTATTGATGCTGATCAAGAACAATATATACTTTATGCTGAATCTGGATCAGATCGGATCATTTTTGTAGCCAAAAGCAAGAAATCAATTTGCAGTAGCTACGCAGCGCCCGACGTCACGCTCAGACTGATTTTCTGTCTCTCTCGCACTCTTTGTCGTGTCGTTTAATATTAGCGGCGTCTGCCGGAGGAGAGCCATACTGACTTAGTATCGGGTATAACAGTAGAGTTGCGGTGTCCGCAGCAACTCACAACGTTCCCCCTCGTTTTGGAGTCGGGTCGATACAATGGATGCAACTAAAGATACATATACTGAGCTAAAGGTTAAGTCTTCTACCGTTTTAAAAGTTTTCTCAACTTTGCCATTTATTATTAAATTTATTGCTTATACGGTGCACGGACATAGGAGTGGTACTTTTCGACTTTAGTTCGTTACTAGCATCAATTCTCAACGAAATAAGTTACTAATAATTGTAAGTCAACCCCACTTTATGTTACACTGATTAATGCTTGATAACTACGAGAACATATGTAATTCCCATTGTGCTCCTTGTACTCGCACAACTCGAAAAAAAAATGCCGAAATGCGACATGTCCAAAATGTCGGGAAAGAGGTGCACATGAAGTTGTCTGGGAAGACGCTGGAAGAGCCCGCGACAATGCATTACCTGCCGCCACAAAATGTAACGTTCTTAGACCGAGACCTTTGAGATCGGATAGACATGTGCTCCTTGGCATGTTTCTCAGAACCTGGGCGGAGACTATCAAGCATTAAGTCATTCTATTCGGCGCTCCCATTCAGGGAACACTACAACTTTACGGGTTTGGCTGTGGGCCTAATATTAATACATGTATATGCAAACTTCAGTAGACTTCTGAAAATAGTACATTCTGTTGCTATTCGCTGCGTGGATATATTCACAACTTGCACAACACTAGACAACAAAATCGGCTCTGGTGCATGAATTTATGCAAACAAATCACTAATAACACTATGCAATGGGATTGATTTACTAAAAAGTGCACACCTTTAACATTTTTTTGATAATTTGAATGATCGGTGACTCTTATTGTTGGGAATTAATGGCATTCAATAACTTAAGAAGGCAGGAGCATACATCCATAAATCCATCGATTGTTTAAGATATCAGCACTGCAAATGCTGAGTCAAAATTATGAGAGGGCGAAATGTGACCAAATCGCAGTTTTAAAATTAAAACAACGATTTTTGGGGGTACATTTGAATGTTTTCATTTTGTCGCACAGTATTCATTAGGAAAAAATTTAAAAATTATTATCAACGAAGAATATTCTTAAAACGTAACATTTAAACATGTTTGGTGGATATGAAGTAGTAGAGTAGTGTATTGGTATATATTTAATTCTGCTGTGCGGCTATACTGAGCGGATGATCTTTTCGGTTTCAAAATTGAAACAATATTCATTGTCTTCGATTCTTGCTGGGCAGTGTTTGTGCCACATGATCGGTGGAGGCATACAGCTCCCGAACAAAAGGAAATTCAGTTGGATGGTATACCGCCAATACAAATGCAAACTGCTCTCTGGAGAGAGTGCCTACACCCAACCCCACCCCATTCCCTGCAACAACAGAAACTGCACCTGCATCATTAGCGTGCCTCTTCTTTCTGTTTTTCCATAGTTTTTCGTTCTGTTTGGCAAAAGTTTTCCATTTATGTAGATGCAACGCGGCATGAAAAGAGTGTGGATTCAGGAGTCAGGAGCCAGTGAGGCAGGTAAATTTATCGAATAACTCTAAGGAGCCAGCTTCGCTCCCTTTGGAAGTTGAGTCTTTAGGAATTAAATTTCCTTCGCATCTGACAGATTGTAAATTATCTCGTAAGCCGCTTGGAAAATTTAATGAACAATAAGGCTCCTGCCGCCTGACTCCTAGTTCCCCATCCTCCTGCGCCTTTCTTGTACATTCTTCAGTGCTTTCTCCCTGTGCTCCCATGAAGGATCCCATGAATAACTTATTCAAAACGAGACCTTAATGAGTGCTTAACTTTCATTTTTATGCCGTCATGTCCGACAGATGCAAATTAAGAGGTGTCTGGTTCCAAAAAAAAGGTGTGGCAGATGGCAGATTGGGTGGCATGTCGCAAATATGTTGCAATATCATTGAATGGAAAATGGCTTCATATGATCCTTGGTATACTGGTACTTGCTCCTGGCTCCAGATGAATGGAGGAGCTCTCTCTCTCTCTGTCCGAGCAGCTTTGCCTGCGAAATTCCTTTGTGTCCCAAAAAATACCACCTTCCACCCTTCCCTTTCTTCCCTTCTCTCATGCCTCTTTCTCCCGCTCTCTATATCTTTGCGGCAATTTGCGGCACAAATGGCTGGCACCAGCAGCAACAAAAGGCGACGGGAGGAGGAATGAGAAAAGAAGTGAACTTCAAGGCATAAAAATGTAAAATCTTAACACTTTTTTACAGTCAGCGCCGCACAGATACAGAGCACAGGATCAGGCAGAGGCAGGGACATTGTGCGGAGAAACAAGGAGAAAGGAAGGAAAGAAGAGGGAACGAGGAAAAGGAAGGGCGCCAGCATAAAGGAGGAGGCAACAGTGAGTGGCACGGGGGCAGAGGCACAGGGGCCAGACGGCAGTCAAAAGCGCCTACAGCGATTGCACAAAAATAATGAGGAAGCGCGCCCAGGATATGCGGCGCCCAGGATATATATATCCTTATACGTACTATACTGTACGTACATGCATACATATATATTTATATATATATATGTGTGGGTGTGTTTGTGTGTGTATGAGAGGAAGTGCCCATCCCTCACTCTCTCTCTCTCTCTCTCTCTCTCTCTCTGTATCTACCTCCCAGTCTCTTGAGCAATCATCAAGCGAATGAAGCCACTCAGACGCTGCATGGATGGATGGGCTGGAGGAAGCTGTGTGTGGCAACTGGCTACAGAATCTGAGTCACACTGTAGTCGTACTCTATGCCTCTCCATCCAACTGCCCTTCTCCCTCTGAGCTGTTGTTGGTGCTCTTTCATTTAATATTTATGTGTTGATATCTGTGAGTGAGACTTCAATTTAGCTTGGTGCCAATCCAGTGTGGCAGGGCCTCGCCTCCAACGTGTTTATGTCTGTGCCCCCCTGCTTTATTTATTTATATTTAATTTCTGAGCTCAGAAACAGATTCCGTTTTAAGCCTTGCTTCTCTGTGCCCCTGCCTCTTCGGGTTGTTCTTTCGGACTTGAAGCTCCAGACACCAGAAACTAGACGCCAGCTCCAGCTCCAGCTCCAGCTCAAGTGTTTAGCTCATAAAACGGCGTCTGTCTTGAGTTCCAGATCCATCATTCGATCCTTCGGCAAAAGACCCTTAAACAATTAGTTAGAGGAGATCCTTCTCCCAAAGGCTAGCTCTGGCATTCACTGCCTCCTGAAGGCCACCTGCACTGCCTGTATTGGTGCTGATTTCAGTTAATTTTCCTCTTTCTCTCAGTTTACCTGAGGCAGTAGTGGTAATGGCTGTGGAAGTGGCAGTGACAGTGTGGCAGTGCTACTGCGTGTGGGGCAACTGCTGCAGGCATATATCCTTCCCTGTGGTTTTGCCACATTCCACGTACCATCATTCCACTCCACATTCGATTGACAGACCCGACAGAGCAGGTA